AACAGGCTATGTTGCATTCTGCCCTATTTTCTACAATTAAAGTAAAAGTCCTCTTAAATTTCACAGGAATGAAAGCAGGTCATACAGTAAATAATGCTTGCTTTTAAATGTCCTTGATGACTGGTTTGACATGAGCAGTGAGACATCACATGATCTGTTCTTTATTTTGACTATTTCTGTGTCTTACAGTGCAGCGGTAAAAGCTGCTTATTAACAATGATGTCAAAACAAGAAAGTAAACAGGAAATGAAGTTTTGTCTGTAGTATTCACTGCAAAGGGTTGTTACAATAGTCCCAATAAAAGATCTGCAACTTTTCAGATGCTAGTAATATAAAATTTATATTGAAATGTTCAGGAAAACAGTAAAAGAAATTACTGATATGTCACCAATCCCTGCTTGTTCAAAAATACTGAAATTATATGTCAGTTCTGGTACATAAGGGGTGTAATGACAAGATGATCACTCTAGAGAAACAAAGATACCTATTTAAACAAATACACGTATTAAATGAAAAAAATTGGACAGAAAATAAGCTATTAATTAAGAACAACACTTGACGAAAAAATCAATATACATATGTAAAAAGTTTTGGACTATATACTGATATTCAAAATCACTAAAAGGTTTCATGATTTAAACGCAGAATGGAGATACTGATGATGTGTGAAACGCAAAACCTAGAGATCAGCTGCTTATATTCTGTCCTAAAGAAATACACTTACTCAAGGTGAGTAATAGGGATGGCAGCATTCAAGTGACATTTCAAACCATGCTGCCAACTACTAAGTTGTAACACATCAGTGATCGTGTGTTCTTCCCTTTCAGTCATGGTATCTGCAAACTCTTTTGCGCTTGACAGAAATAAAAGCCATTTGAATTGTTAGGACTAGTAATCCAGATAATTTGTGTTCACACTAGGTTTCAGAGGAAAATTATAGCCTATATAAGAAGTTGAAGATATCCTTCTGCTCAAAACCACATCTCGAAATCAGCATGGTCTGGATACTTCCTTAAATCCTACTGCCACAAAGGGAATTGGAGTCCTATCCACACATTGTCCAAGCTCTGGTAGCTGAAGTCATTTACTGATCAAAGTAGAACATCTCTGGTTTTGACTACTGAACTACAAAGACTTTTATAGAACTGGAGAAGATTTTAACATCGTTTAATCTTATTTTTTTGTTTCAGTGAAAGAAAAAAATTGTTCATTTGTTTTGAGGAAACAATATAAAGGTTTTCTCATAGATTTTTGCTGTCAAAGGAAAGTTCACAAATCTTATGGGGTATTGATTAATTTTTCTGCCCATTTCTCATTTTACAGTATTTATTAGGTAATGTCTGCTGTCTGAAGAAGACTGATCTGTTCTAGAGGTATGTTCGAGCCTTAAGAAATGTATGAATATTTATCACTCAGACTTGTCATACCAGCAATATTAAAACTTGGACAATAAAGTGGAAAAAACTGTTGCTTGTTCCTGCAATACATCAGTTCTTATTCTCGATACCATAGGCCATTTAATATCAATTAATGAATCTATCAATATTGATACCTATACTGTCCTCTTTTAGCCTGGAACTAGATAATAAGGAGTGCATAACACCCAGAAATACCTTCTTGTGCAAAAATTTGGGATGATTTTGCATTATGAGGGAATGTGTAAAATTTGCATGTGCATATATATATATACACACACACACATATATTGTGCACACATGCATGATCACATATGTATACTTCCATACAAAGGATTTTAACATAATCCTTCACACTGATCAAGGTAGCAAGGCAGTTGCAATGGCTTGCCCCTCTGCATGACTGCCTTTCTTGAGTAAAACCACAAAGGGCAGAGATTTGAGTCCAGTCACTGGTTTTGTTTTTCACATCTATACTAACCTAAAGCAAAGGGTTAATGAGGCTTTCAGAAATCATGCCACCTGCATACTTAAACACAATAAATACAAGAAGTTGCTATCTTATAGAAACTGCTTTTGTGAAGGCTTTTAACCTCTTAATTAAAGTCTTGAAAAGACTCCTGCTATTTCAAAGGTTTCAAGAAAGAATTCCTATTGTAAATCAGAAACCAATACAAAACAACCTTGTGAACAGAAAATTCCTAGACTATACGAAACAAGAAATTGAATCTGTGCACACCTTTATCTGACAGGCACAACCCCTTTTAAGCAAACAAAAGAATAATAGTTTTCCTCAAAGAGGTCTCTTTCGCCAGTGATCGTTTTTCAGGTGATAGTAGTTTTTCTGTACAAACTCATATCACTCCATCTGGGGTCTGCTAGACAGCTGTTTAAATGCTTCTACTGACCATTCCTATTCTCTCTCTGTTTTAATTCAGTCACAAACTAACAGTCCTTTACATAGACTGCACAGACTGTGGTTTACTTCTTCAACTTCTTCACTCAAAGAAAAAAAATATTTACAACAAAGCCTGAGTGAAACTGTCATTTTGTTTAGAAACTGTACCAAAAACTCTTTCAGAGCAACAAAGGAACTCTTGTTGGCTTGGCTTATCTTGTTTTGGTTCAGAATGTGTATAGAGTGATGTGATCTCAGCAAGGTTTTTTTTGTTTGTTTAGCAGAAAGAAAACCTAGTATAGTCACTAGACCAGCATTTTCTCATGACTTTTCCAAAGATCAAAGGAAAGAACTGTAACCTCAAAAGTATACGGCTGAGATATTTGTGTCTGTGTCTGGTCAATAAAGAAAAAAGGCACTTGACCAAATAACAATTATAAGATAATTAATTCTTAGGGCTGTTTCACCTTTAGAAACCTTAACAAATGCTTATATATTATGGAGGTAAATTTTGTTCAAGACATAAGAACCTGGGAGCTAATACAGAATAATGTGTGTCTGTACAGTGGTAAGTTATACACAGGTGACATAATTTTGCTGAAAATCCAAAAATCCATTAATTTCATTCATTCTGTTCTCCAGAACTTGGCTGAACTGAATGTATGCAAAATATGTTAGCCTTCTTGTGGAACTTCTTTATACACACAAAAAAGAAGAGTATGTTCATCACAGTACAATTCCCAACCAACACATCTTAAATCTAACTAGACTGGTACAGATGCACCAGCTTTGTACAGATGCTCACTCTATCCTTGTCTTACTAGTGATGTTGGTGATCAGTGCACACTGTAGCAATATTTTCTGTAATAGCTATTTGAACTTAAAGACTGAATTCCCCATTTGCATCTTGGAACTTTTTAGGATAATAATTTTATTTGAGAGTAATTCTGTGACATTATAACGTGATCAACTAAGGCAGAGAGAAGAGGCAGCTGACATCTTCTTCTGACCAAAGAACTGCTTCTCTGTTTCCAATCACCCAGATATTTTATACTGCATATTCAAAATCAGTAGATCCTTTGGAAAATCTAGTATTTTTTTTATTTATCAGGTGACAATGCAAGTCTGTAGATAATTCAGAAACTAACTCTATTTACTGCATCCTGCATTGAGACAGCACAAGGGTCTTTGTGGTTTCAAAATGTGAATTGCAAGTGCAGCAGAAGGAACTCATGATACCCAATTGACTGAACAAGAACATGGCAGAGGAAGTTCAGTATAGATAGGTGTCAAGAGAGGCACTTAGGGAAAAGGCAATTCAAACTTTACAGGACAAGCTCTTGAGTAGCTACTAATATGCTAGAAAGAGGTCCTGCAGTTGTAATAAGTATGAAAATAACAACTTGGCATTCAGTAAAGGTTAAAAAATTTAAAAAACCAAAGTTTTGAGAGTTAGTAGGAAAGCAATCAAAAAAGCATCCATAATTGCCCTCTATAAATCCACGGTATGCAAGCACTTTAAACATTCTATGCAGGGCTTATCTCTCCTTCACTTCTCTCAGATCAAATACATGAGAACTGAAAGAAATTTCAGTAAAGTGACAAGGATTAACAGAGGAATGGAAGAGCTTCCACATGAGAAACAATCCTAACAGCCTATGCCTGAAAAATTGACTAATGGAGATACAACAGAGGTGTATAACTCTGGTGTACATCAATAGAGAACTACTGTTTCCACTTTCTTCTGCTGCTGCACTTAGAGAACATCAAATGTGGTGAAGATCCAAGGAAATAACAGGAGGTACTTCACCATGCTACACTGGCTAGCTGATCAGCAGACATGCTGCCACAAAAAATCATGAATGTTTCACTGGCTCAAAAAGCAACTCTACCAACTCATAAAAGAAAACTCTGAGGAGTTACCAAAGCCGCAATAGGCTCAGTGAGTGCAAATTTCTGGCAGCTGGGACAGTTTACCAAAGCAGTATTACTATATTCTTTGCTGGACTTTCTAGTTTTCCTTTAGTATCTGTTCTTGAAGGCTCGATGCTGGGCTAGCTCAGCTTTTAGCACAACCTGATACAACCATCCTTATATTACGGAGTAGAAGCATATCAGAAATAATTTCATTAATACCACAAAGCAGCCAATCTTCACTCCTGGTCTAGCAGTTTTGGCAGGAGTTCTGTTAAAACTGAAGCTCATGGACTGAGTCAGCACACACAGTCAAGAACTATAAATACAGAGACCTGCCAGAAGGACAGAGTATAATTAAGCATCTTCTAGCACACTTAGTTTCATGAGCTAATAGTGTTTTCCATACTGTTTAAAAAGAAAAAAATTACACCAAATGAAAAAAAACCAAGGGAGTTATTTGGGATTCTTTCTCTTCCCTGGCAAAGAATCTTAACAAGAAATCGTGTTCTTGACAAAAAGCATTGCAGGCCAAAGAGTGTCTTTTCAGACGGTGAGCCAGTTTATAATGCTGCAAAGAAGCTGCCAGTGTCATGAAATCAGTCACTTTTGATGCTTAATTGAGAGTACAATTCTCTTGAAAAGCAGCTCACAGAGAGTTAAAAGAAAAAGTTGATTCAGCACATTATTAAGTGATATTAACAGATAATTAATAGGTAACCATATATTACTGTTCATGCAAGGTTGCAAGTTGATTTATCAGGTATACTCACAGAGACTGCAGGCTGCGCAAGTTCTGGAGTGCTTCAGTAGGAACCTGGCGTAGCTGGTTATTCTGCAGCATCCTACATTTTGAGTAGCACAAAACCCAGAATCAACACAATAAAGACAATTTCTTTCTATTGCAAATTTTCTTCCAAGCTTACCTCTTTTGTAGTAGTTCTACTTTCAGATTACAAACAAAGGAAAGCTACACAAATACTCCAGTTCCCTGACCCTGTCAAAAGCCTGCTCTCTTCAAAGCAAAAATACCTGTAGCATATTCGCTTTGTTAACAGCTAGACAACAGCTTTGAGCAGAATTTTCAAAGCAACTGAGAAAGTTAAAAGAATAAATCCGATTTTCTTTCAACAGGGCTTAAGCTCCTAATTGCCTCCAGTGACTCCGAAATTTTCATTCTCATGTACCGATTTTGTTTTCCTTCTGAAGTGATTCTATTCTGATAAAGCTGTGAAGGACTGACTCTTGAAATCCTTACTCAGGAAAATGCTACTATGGCAAATGTAACTTTTAATTGTATGAGGAATTTATGATTTGGTCTGAAGAAAATTTGATCTCTATAAAAACTGCTTTATTTTTTTCAATGAAATAGATTTTCTCAAATTGAAGTTTGCTAGCAATGACCTGACAAAACTGCTTTCTGAAATATCACATCATTTAGCTTGCAAAGATTGAAAAATCACTTTTCATTCCTAAATAATCTTTTTCTCCCTTTGAATATGGTTTCATTCACACTATCTAATATCCTTGTTTGGACCAACTCCTACACATATAAAAGAATTCTATGTGGATAAATCTGAAGCAGTACATGCTGCCTTCAAAATGAGGCATACTCAGTGGGAGACTAGAAAAGAAATAATTTTTGGCAGATCTAAAGTTCCTTGGGCCAACAAGAGCTAGAGCTCACCAACTGAAAAGAAGATGGAATAGCAATCTCTTCATACTTCTTTTCCAGTTGTGTATTTTTTCAGTAGAGCTTTGTATACTCTTACAGTAGCATCAGGCTTGGCTTGACACTGGCTAGGAGGTTGGTGTTCTTGCTAATAATACAATTTCTGTGAATTTTACATAGGCAAAGATCCCCTCTAGTGTAAACACTGTGAGATGTGGCCTGCTAATAATTTTAGTAACTGTATGTACTGACTTATTACTCCAAATAATACAGAGTTTTGTAATATTTTTTTATAATTCAGCCAATAGTCATTACATTGTAAAGAGCAAGATATGAAATACAGACTGCATTGTAAATTACATTGTGTTCTACAATAATGTTTTTTATCCCCCCTGGCTCTCAAGAAAAGGAAAAGGCAATTTAATCCTAGTTTTGCGTGATCATGAAAAGTTCACTTGAAATCAGAACTTTGAGACAATTGAAGAAACTATTAACTGAACCAATTTTTACCTTTGATATTGTACAGAGACATCTACTTGATGAGCAAGTTGTTTTTAGAATGCCATTAATGTTTTCCAACCTTTGTTTAGGATATTTTCTATATGAAAAAACAAAGATTTAATGATGTTCATATGTATCTTCACTTCAACTGAATTGTTCAAAGTGAGCTGATCGAAATATGTAATTTACTTGATCAAAACTTCACTGGTTAATTAGTTCCCTGGAGTATTTAGGAAATCAGAAATATATCAAACAACACACAGTTTACTTACAGCACTTTAAGACTGAAAAGGCCAGCAAATGCTCCCTTAGGAATGTATGTCAAGCCATTTCCTGCAAGACGTCTGCAAAGTTTGAAAAAGGAAAGGAAAAAGAGTGAATACTTTTTTTTCCTCTTCATGTGGAATTAATTTGGTTGTTAAAAAGTGCAACACAGCTATGTTTGAGCAACCGATGCCAGAGACAGTAGTTTAAGAGCCTAGTTTTGTCATTAATACACTTTTTAAAGAAAAAAAAAGAGAATTCTTTAACTGCACAGTTGATCTACTGACAGATGGACTGCGGAGAAAAAGAACAATTTCATGGCAAATTGTCCTTATGGTTTAGAATGCACATTGAATGAATTCTTCATATTGTTTTTAGGGGTTAGAGCAATCCCAGCAACTGAAATACATACTAACAACAATTAGCATCATAAGATTTACAGACATGCACTTTGTGTAATTGTGCATGTATGATGTCCATCCACATTTAACTCATCTGCACTAATATAAAAATAGATCCACATAGTAATGACCACAGTTCATTTTAAAATAACTACACATAAAACTGGTGTACCAGTGGAATAATAGTTTTCCTGTGAGCAGTTGTGTAATAAGCTGGCAAAAAGTATTTGCTGAAATTTGCAGGGCTTTTTTCCCTACTTCTATTGCATCCTCCTCTCAGAATGCCTGAAAGTATTTTACAAATACCTCTGTAAAGCATGTTACTCTTACAAAAAAAGGCTGCATTCTGTAAGGTTTTCGTCCAGGAAAGGGATAATCTATTTGATACAAAATAATGGCATTTCCATGTTCTGGCCCTCAGGAAAGAACACAGGACTAGTTCCAGGAAATGCCTTAGGTACCAAGCTGCCAGAGAGGAACCTACAGGACTGAAGTAGAATCATAGAATCAGCCGAGTTGGAAAAGATTTCTGAGATCATCAAGTCCAACCCCTGATCCAACACCGGCATGGTTACTAGACCATGGCACTAAGTGCCACATCCAGCCTCATCTTAAAAACCTCCAGGGATGGAGAATCCACCACTTCCCTGGGCACCCCATTCCAATGCCTGATTACCCTCTCTGTGAAGAATTTCTTCCTAATATCCAACTTAAACCTTCCCTGGCAGAGCTTAAGACCATGCCCTCTTGTCTTACTGATAGCTGCCTGCTGTGAATATTTTTCAATTTGGAAAGACCTTTCACTAATTTTGCAGATGGTGATTAATTCTATCTTATATGGTATTTCTCTGCTAATGCAGCAGCAGATGATGCTCACCATGTACAGCCCTACATATTTCAGTAGAGGGTTACATTAAGTATATCCCAAATGCACGTATATCCTTGTAGTTCTCTCACAAAGCAAACTGACATTGTCAGAAAAGGCAGACACCTGGCAACAATTATTTTAGATGTAGTGATGCCGTCTGACCTTCGTTTACCATAGTAAATGCTTTCTCATGATGGCTATTTCACGATTTGCTGTGGAACAAATTCTGGAAAAGCACCTATCTATTCCCAAGATGTTTCTCAAAACCACTTCTGAACACTGGCACAATAGTAGCATCTTTCCAGCCCACTGGACTTCCCCAGCATTGTAGTATTCTGCAAAAATCAGGAAAAATTATTCATTTGCATAATTGTCTAATTCTTTCAATATTCTTGGATGAAATTTAGCAAATCAGTTCTTTAAGGCATGCTGCAAAGCTCATTAAGTTCAGGTTATTTGTTCCTGATAATTTTTAATGTCTTCCTTGCAGCATTTTCTATTCTCAGCTTTGGTATAGGGGAAAATGAATCCCTTTGTTGACATTGCATTATATATCAAGTATCTACCAGTGTCCATTTTTCTCCACCTCAGGGATTTTGTTTTCTATTAACCTAAATTATTTGAACGAAGCTTCCCAATATTTTTCTGAACTTTGGATATACTTTGGGTAGTAATTTTAGTCTGAATGGGTAAATATAATTTCCCTGAACAAATGAGAACAAATCTGTCTCTATAGTTGAGTATTTAGTTAATGATTGCGGAGAGCAGGAATGAAATAGTTTGTTTATAGCATTTATGTAACCAAATGTCTGGCTTTTATTATTTGAACAACTTTGAATTCCCATTTTTGAAAATTAATTCTTTTATTTCAAGCATTTCTGACATTATTTTACAAATGTCTTGTTATTTTAAAAATATCTCATTACATACATTCAGGCTTATATGTATCACATCTCTTTAATGAAAAAGTAATAAAAAAGGATCATATTTTCTGAGCTATATTATTTTAGATTTAGATTTTACTTGCAGTGCTTTGAATAATCTTGCAAATTAATGGAGGCTGGAAAAGTTTACAGAGAAGTGACACGTTTTCTTCAGTACCTGCCACAACTGGAGTCAAGATACTAGGATACCTTTAGCTTAGGAATTGGCTATGTTTTTATACTATTGCATACTTCTTCATAAGAGATGTGAGACACCCATAGAAAGCTCCAAAAATTATCAGAAACTATTTTTGTTTTCCTTTCGTTGTCTGAAAAGAAAAACTTCATCAGATTGAAGCAAATAAATACGAGGTTGTAACTGAGAACAGTCAACTATTTCCTTTATATTTCTAATACAATAATTTTTCTTTGACAACTAAAAAGAGCTTTATGTGTGGATGTTTTCTGCATCATGACAAGCCCTTCCTGGCACCAAACATCTCCTCATTACCTGATGGGAAGGAAGGTGAACTTGAAACACTAAAAAGTCTTCTCCGTACAGTTATAAAACCGTGGCCTTTAACAAAGCAAGCACCTTTCCACTGACTGTGGAAAGAACCTGTGGCAAATCTAACCCAGCTACTTCTCACTGTCTGCAGCAGACAGTGCTAGTACAATATGAGTAGTGGCTGCTTTTCTTCTTTGCCTAAGTAAAATCTAGTCCAGTAAATGCTGAACAAGCATTTGTGAAGCGTATTTCAAAATCTAGTAGTATCAAACCTATAGCCAGGGCATGAAAGGAAGGTAATTGTCTCCTTGAGAAAAAGTATATGTTTACACTGATTAATATTCATGTTGTGTTCTAACAGGATTAGCACAATGGAATTTTCTGGAACAAGTTACTGATCAACTCTTTCAAGGTGCTGAAATGCAGGAGAACAGTTGACACTCTGGATAGTGATCAGCTCAACGTATGATGGGAATAAACAGTGTGAAAGGAGACAAGCTCCACTGTTAAGAAGAGAAAATGCAGTGAAATCTCTTGTAATTCTATTTCAGAACAGATACAGTTAAGTAGAAATTCATTACACTCAAATTTCTAATAAATATATTGGATTCTTATTATTATCCCAGTAAATTATAATATGAATATCAAACTGACTCAATGTTGCTAGACTAGTGCCAGTGCATGTTCTTTCATATAGATTAGATTATATATCATTGCATCACTTGTGTTGCATTATACTTAATCAGTTCTCACATAGTGCAATATCCTATATAGAATGTAATGATGAGTGCAATATGAAATCATTCTTCAACTATGCAAAGATAGAGGGATTTCTACAAAAATAATTCTGTGAACTACTATCCTGCCTTGATGTCTCTTTGACTCTGCATTTTACTTCTGTTCACTAACTAGTTTGCTGATTTTACTTAAGGAATGTGAGCAAAGCCTGTACATGCTAAGAGAATGCTATCATGAATATGTTTATATATATGTGTGTGTAAAAATTTATATTTTTGAGTAGGTTAACATCAACAGAGTCACAATTCAGTCAGTTTTATATTTGCCTGTTTTCTTGGAAAACAGAGGTTCTATTTATAATTTGCTACATTGTATACTACAGCTAAAAAACTCTCCAGACAGAAAACTGAACAGGGGTCATATGGAAGAACCTAAAAACTGTTGAAAAAAAAAAATCTTTGCTTTTCTGAATAGAAATTGGAACTATATAAGGCCTGAGACAGTGAAAAACCGCAACAGATGGGACAGTTCTGCTGCTATGTGTTACCTTCCTGAATTTGGTGCTAAAACACTAGCATGTGATGTAGAAAATTCCATTAAAATTCATGTAATCATGACCGTGTCTTTTTTATCTTGTGTACAGATAAGAAACTCTCTTTTGTAATTTGAAACTTCTTTCTTAAAAGCCTGATCTGCCTCTCCAACTGCCATAATACTTCTGAATAACTGATAAAGATCCACGGTGAAATACCAGTCTCACTGATGTCTGTGGAAAAATTTGTGCTGACACAAGTAGAAATAGGACTCTCATTTGCATCCTACCACAGCATCATACTTGCCAGTACTTGTCTCTGAGGAGCTGCACCAATAGCACTACTACCAATCCTAAAACTATTATCCCAATTTCTAAGGAAGGAAATGGCTGCCTGGGGAGGAACATGGAAGTATAACAAGAAAACATAAATTTCCAAATCTTTTTCTAAAACAACTTGTTCTGGTATAAAAAACTGTCTTTGTTCAAGGAAGAATTACCAATCCTGAATCTTGCTTCAATTTTTTTTACTGAGAAACTATATCAAAGATACATAAACACATAACTACATATATATTTAGTCCACCTATATAAAAGTATAGCCACTATGTAATTTATATATTTCTATGACCATAATTTTCTTCGGCTTACATATACATCAATAAATAGGTAACATGAAATGTTCCTTCTTCTTACATTTAAAAAAGCTCTGACAAAATGGACATTCATCCAGCACTTACTCAAAGTCAACTAAAATTTTGAGATGAGTTTAATTTTATATTTATTAATGACTATTCTCAGACCAATGCAATAGGAATGCATGAATTAATGGGTGATTAATTACAGTGTTAATAACTAATGGGTGACATCAACATATATTCTAACATTTAAGAATTACTATGTTAGACTTGGAATTTAAATGTTAGTCTGTATTTCAATTATCTTTTTATATTTCAATCTGTTGCATTAATTAAAACTAATTATAGCAATATAAAAAGAAATGCAGGTCAAATGATATATTAAAAAATCTGATGCTCAGAGAGATCAAAGAAGAAAATGTAAAGATATTCTCCTTTCTTTAAAAAAGGGGAGAGGAGTGTGCAAGTCATA